TTCACTAGGTTCCCCCGTGTGGTTCTGGGATTTTTGCTCACCGTTCTTGTGATAATTTTGACCCCACGGGGTGAGATCTTGCGTGGAGCCCCAGATCGAGGGAGATTATCAGTGGTCTTGTATGTCTTCCATTTCCTAATAATTGCTCCCACAGTTGATTTCTTCAAACCAAGCTGCTTACCTATTGCAGATTCAGTCTTTCCAGCCTGGTGCAGGTCTACAATATATGTTTTGTAAATGTACCAATAAAATATACATAGTGATTGAGTGTCCATATAGCTATACCATGATATTTGCATTGCTACTAAGTAACCCTCCAATTGTTCTCCACTAATTCCCACGCTAAAGCCCCTCCCCAAGTTGGGCCGGCATCCCAGTGATCGGCATACCACCCCCGTCCCCCCGGATCCCTAGGCCCCCGAGAGGCCAGGACCCATCCATCGAAAACAGCACACAGTGCCACCCACAAAACAGAAGCAGGTCAACCACCAAAAGCATTTCCAATGCTCTCACTTCAATATATTTATATAGCTATTTAAAAATATATATCTATTCAAATATCTTGCATATCTTATTTTCCATCATTATCAATTAATATGCGTAATAATGTTGGCAGTTCATGCGTAGGATTTTAACCTATAACCCGGATTGCCATTGTATTACATTACATTTTTGACAAGCAATCATTATTTTAGCAAACAATTATTGTGGTTCATCCTATATTCTCCCTAACATCCTTACCCCCTTGCAACAGATGTGGGATAAACACATACGCACATACTCTAACACACTCAACCCCTTTCCTCCACAATCAACCATAAGATCAGATACTCAACGGTTGTTACATCCCAGAGCCCAACTCAAGAAAGGACCTGATTTACGAATGCATATACAGTTACAGCTGTTTGAGAAAGCATGCAAGATTGAGCAAAAATTGACAACAATGTGAGATTTGATTAATCAATTTAGTCTATGTCAAGTCCTAGGTGATGGAGATCAGATCCACTCTCTTCACCTGAGACACAAACACTCTGGTCCCCCGTTGTAACCATTTTCCCCAAGCATCTCCGTGCAGTCAGACCTTTGATTATTTTGTGCCACTTGGGCCACAATAATAAGCCCCCTCTCTGATTGTCAGAGTGTGACCCCCTCCCCATGGGTTACTGCAGCCAGTGTTGCCAGCACTGCCACTACCTGGGTGGGGGTAACCCACCGGAATCCCCACCGGCTAGGTACAAGGTCGTCAAGGTTCTCATTAGCAGCTTTGAGAATGTCCTTGTATATTATGCTCTCCCATCAGGGGGCTCTGGCTTTGTAGGACCAACCCTGCCAGGCAGGCTCAGAATCTTGAGGGGGCGGTGCTGCTCAAGTAGGTCTCTGACCGCATTTATTTTTCTGTTTTGGCTGCATATAGGCAACACACAGCAGGTCCATAAAACAGATGGAGACTTCTCTTTGATGTATGGGTCGCTCAGGTGGGTGTCCAGGATATAGGGTTGGGGATCGTTCCATCATGATAGGACAATAAAAAAATTGATTAGATGTATACTATATTTTAAAATGTATATCCCTCATCTGCACAAAATTGAAAGCTCTCTCTCACAACCCCTGCTCACAGACACACATTGGTTCTGGGATATGCAACCATTTCCTTTCTCACTCACTTAACGTCACACTTTTTCAAACACAAAAATGCACACCACACCTTCCATCACAATTCATCCACACATACCCACATACTGAAGATGTTAGAAGAACTGTCCACATTTACTTTTCGTCAGCCAACAAGATGAGTAAGCCTAATGAACAGCAAAAGCACTAGCCTATGTCAATCTACTATCCCCCATAGTACAAAAAAATACCTATTCTATTGGTCAACTTGTCCTTCTATGCGAGAAATAAATATTCCAAACATAGTCTGTGACATTTGTGGGATGCGATAGATCCCAAATTAATACAACCACTCGCATAAAAAAAAAAAACATTTTAAAAGCAACGAGGCTGATGCAACAGAACATTTAGCTTAAAATGTTGATGAACTATTAGGCCATTTCTTCACATTATACGCGCAGCAATGCGCACATGGCAGTAGGCTATAAGCGCGAATGTTCTAAAATGCAATCAATTAGAAAACACCATTCTCAAAAGTGACCGCAAATGCGATTATGCATGTAATGCTTTATTATGATACATTATAAAGGTGCATTTTAATGGTGAAAATGATCTTCCCCAAACTTGAAACTCACGCACCGCCTATGTATGCCAGTTAGTTGTGATACAGACCTTATCAAAACAGAGGCCTATGGGCTAGGCTACATGAGGTGTGCGACTATGATATGAAACATTCGCTTAAAAAGGCATGCACTGTTTCTGCCTTACTGCACACAAGCTGGGCATCATTCACAAGTGATAATATATAATTTACAAGTGATAGGTTCATTTTCTCACCCATCAGACTATTCTTGATTTAATCTTGTCTTTACATAGGCTATGCTGTAGCTCAGGCCTCCTGTAGCTCAGTTGGTAGAGCATGGCGCTTGCAATGCCAGGGTTGTGGGTTAGATTCCCACGGGGGGGCAGTATGAAAAATGTATTCACTCACTAACTGTAAGTCGCTCTGGATAAGAGCGTCTGCTAAAGAACAAAAATGTAAAATCTAAATAATATGTGTGAAATTAGTTTTGATTTACAATGGACCATTATCATGCACCTATCTCGGAACAGGGCAGGGGAAAAAAATACATGTCATCTATTCACTTAAACAGCAAATGGAGGACGCTTTTCCCTGGTTCGTTTTCATGCCAGCTAGGTAGGCTATACTCCTGTTGTAAAGCAAAGCAATGTGCTTAATATTAGGAAAGTACAACAATTAATATATTAGGCTTAGCCTATACTGTAGAAAGCTGATGGGATCCTCCTCTTTTTAATAGAGGCCATCAAAACTCTGCTTTCTCACACAATTGCATAGCCTATAGAAATGTTGTGCAACATGAGGTCATGGGCTCTCATGAAGTGTTTGATTAGATTTTTGATTTGCATTGATGTCAGAGTGATGACAGGGACAGTAGAGTGCTGAGTACCAGGCAGTTAGCAAGTTTGGTAGGCTACTAATGACCAGCAGCAGCATCAGAGCTTGGAGAAGCCTAGTTACCGTGACTAAACAGTCAAGTGGAATTTGACTGCAGTCATGACTCCTGACTGCCGGTGTGGCAATATTGTCACCCTAACAACCCTACTTATGCATCCTTATTTCAACCCCAAACACACCACTGATGTGTGTGGCCAAAGAGCTCTATTTTCATGTCATCTGACCGTAGCACCGGTTCCAATCCAAGTGCCAATGCAGTTTAGCAAACTCTAGGTGTTTGCATTTGTTGGAAAATAGAGCTCTTTGGCCACAGCCAACAGTGGTGGGTTTGGCGTCGAAATAAGGACGCATAAGCAGAAAATAACCCCATACCTATTTTACAATATGGTGGTGGATCTTTGATGTTATGGGGCTATTTTGCATCCACTGGTCCTGGGGCCTTTGTTAAGGTCAACAGCATCATGAACTTTGCCCAGTACCAGGACATTTTAGACAGAAACCTGGTTGCCTCTGCCAGGAGGCTGAAACTTGGCCACAAGTGGATCTTCCAGCAAGACAATAATCCCAAGGACACATCAAAATCCACAAAGAAATGGTTAATTGACCACAAAATAAAATTGTTGCTTTGGCCATCTCAGTCTCTGGACTTGAACCAAATTGAAAACCTGTGGTTTTAATTGAAGAGGGCAGTCCATAAGCGCAGACGAAGGATATCAAGGATCTGGAAACATTCTGTATGGAGGAATGGTCTAAAATCCCTCCCATTGTGTTCTCCAATCTCATCAAACATTTTAGAAAAAGGCTCAGTGTCGTTATCCTTGCAAGGTGAGGTATTGAAAACGGGGTTGTCAATAATTTTGACCCCTATCTTTTTGATAATTATTTGTATTACAAAATCTCTTTCTCTGAACTATTGTATTTCCTATAAAATAATAATAATTCTGGACCTGACTCACTGTATCTAACTGGTTAAATTATTGGGATTTGGAAGGCAGCGTAGCGATGACCCTTCTAAAACATTCAATAGCCAATAAAATATTCATCACAGTGTTCAGGCAAAAACTCCCAGTTAGTTACGGATGAAGCAATTTGTTTGCAAGTAAGTAGAGCTCTAACAACCATGAGGAAGAAGGAGGAGGACGGAATCGAATAAGGAGAATCAATCAATTAGGATTATTGCTCATTGGGATGGTAACACTGTAGAGGAGGGAGGGAAGACAACATAGGAGTGGTGCTCCTCATTCTGAACAATGCTCTATTTTTAGAGTTCCACAGGGATATGATCAAGTCCCCATGCTAGCCTGCAGAGCAGGGGTATGCTAATGCCATCCATCATAGATAGCCTAGTGGCTTACAACAACAACATGCCAAGCTTGATATATACCTACAGGTAATTTACTCGCTTTCTAATTGCTATATTGACATATGCACTTGTCCACACAGAATGTTTATTTAAATTCAATGTACATTGTTACACAGTAGATCATAGCCTGAGGGTGCCATGCGGATAAGAAAAATGCATTAATATTATAATGTGGTGAAATCATCTTCTATTCTACATGGAGAAACCCTGATAAATACAGAACGGATGGTGGATGTAAAAAGCTGAATAAATACTAAATACATTCTCTAACACATTACATTACACAAGCTACACACCATGGATGGACAAAATGGTGGGACAGAAAACCGATCTTCAGAACTTTGCCATTTATTGGTACAGCAATCAAATAATAGGTTACGTATGGAGTTTCACAGACATGTCAGTGATCGACAGGCTTCTGCTTTGCTTTCTCCCCCCACCCCACCCCACCCCTTGAGTTTGTATGGTATGAATATGTATACATGCAAACGCCACCACGCCAAGCTGCACCTGCCAGGTCTCCACAGCTACAGGGAAACCCTGCGGCCACTATGACTTGTCGTCAGTCTTCTTCTTAGTCTGGAACTTCCGGAACTGCGATTGGATGGCGACGGCCGCCTTCTCAGTCTCCGGGGCGTCCATGTCGATGTCAAAGTCCTCCGCTGGGACTTCCTGGGACTTCTTGGATGCATCTGGAGGAAGAGGAAATGAGGCTTGTGACTCACTGGGTTCCACAGAGTGGTGCTCCACAGAGGGCTCCACAGAGTGGTGCTCCACAGAGTGGTGCTCCACAGGGGGCTCCACAGAGGGCTTCACAGAGTGGGGCTCCACAGAGTGGTGCTCCACAGAAGGCTCCACAGAGGAGTGCTCCACAGAGTGCTCCACAGAGTGGTGCTGCACTACTACTCTGGGTTCCTGCAACTGGGAGACCCTCTGAATACACAATACATAATACAGAATGTACACATACAGTAGAATCACACGTTTTTGTTTTTTCCCTAGTACTACACAGCTGATTAAAATAATCAACTCATCATCAAGCTTTCATTATTTTAATCAGCTGTGTAGTGCTAGGGCAAAAAACTAAACGTGCACCCAGGGGGGGCCCCAGGACCAAGTATGGGAAACCCTGATCTAAAGCACAATAATGCATACCAAAAGAAAGGGCACCACCATTTTATTCATAGAACACAACATGGTCCAGAAGATTATAATTTCCCCTGTAGCTCTCAGGCCTTCATTATGGAAGGTTTGGCCATGCAATTCCAGGGGGTGAACAGACAGTGGTTTTCCATGCCTGAGGACAAGGAACACATTGATCTGCTGTAGCTAATCCCCAGTTCTCTCTATAGACGGACTCAGCTCACACTCCTAACCAGTGGTGTGAGCCAATCATCTCACAACAGGAAATGTTCAAATGGATAAGTAGTAACTTTCTGTGCCAAAGTATTGAACAGTTGATGAATTAAAAGTTAAAATGTTGAAATATATGTTTAAAATATTTTCCCTCTGTATACTAAATTCCAAAGTGAGCATTATGAAATAGAATGAGCATTGAGAATATAAGTTTGCAATCTCTGGAAAAATGGTTAGATGATGTTTGGATAAAGAGGGAAGGATTTATACATACAAGGTACTTGAACCAGAGAAGCCTTTTACCAGATCTGGTGTGATAAAACACAATTCTAATAGAAATGGGAAACCACAATGATCAATATCCACTCCAAACTGTTTTAGATAACAGTTTCTCTACAAAGCAGAGATGGAGGAGGGCTATTTAAATCTTTTGATTCTTGCATGGAACATTCTCCCATTGAATTGATCTGCTTCAGTATGATCCACATAAAGAGAAAGGGAGAAAGAGAGAGAAATAAAATAGAAAAGCAACTCATGTATCGACTGGCAGCTAGCTATCCCGGTCTCCCTGGGGGTGGGTTTGAGTGCCTGTCTCTCCCTATTCAAGACGGAAATGCTTACTACTATGTCAAGGCTAGCTTCGACCAGGGGCGCTTCTAGGTTTTTAAGACATTTGGGGCTTAGCCCAAAGCCAGCAGGGGGGTCTGGGGTCATCCTCACCCAGCAAAAAAATAAGGAATTTCAACAGCTAAATGCATGAATTTGTTGCACTTTGAGATAAACATTGAGAGATTAGGGGCTCTATTCATTCTGTATCGCTGAAATGCTGCAGATTGTGTGCTAGAAATGTAAAGGTACATTTCCGATGGAGCCGACATACAGTGCCTTCGGAAAGTATTCAGACCCCTTGACTTTTTCCACATTTTGTTACATTACAGCCTTATCTACACACAATACCCCATAATGACAAAGCAAAAACAGGTTTTTAGAAAATTTTGCAAATGTTTTAACAATAAAAAACTGAAATACCTTATTTACATAAGTATTCAGACCCTTTGCTATGAGACTCGAAATTGATCTCAGGTGCATCCTGTTTCCATTGATCATCCTTGATATGTTTCTACAACTTGATTGGAGTACACCTGTGGTAAATTCAATTGATTGGACATGATTTGGAAAGGCATACACCTGTCTATATAAGGTCCCACAGTTGACAGTGCATGTCAGAGCAAAAAACAAGCCATGAGGTCGAAGGAATTGTCCGTAGAGCTCCGAGACAGGATAGTATTGAGGCACATATCTGGGGAAGGGTACCAAAACATTTCTGCAGCATTGTGGCCTCCATCATTCTTAAATGGAAGAAGTTTGGAACCACCAAGACTCTTCGTAGAGCTGGCCGCTTGGCCAAACTGAGCAATTGGGGGAGAAGGGCCTTGGTCACCAAGAACCCAATGGTCACTCTGACAGAGCTCTAGAGTTCCTCTGAGGCGATGGGAGAACCTTCCAGAAGGACAACCATCTCTGCAGCACTCCACCAATCAGGCCTTTATTGTAGAGTGGCCAGATGGAAGCCACTCCTCGGTAAAAGGCACATGACAGCCCGCTTGGAGTTTGCCAAAAGGCACCTAAAGGACTCTCAGACAATGAGAAACAAGATTCTCTGGTCTGATGAAACCAAGATTGAACTCTTTGGCCTGAATGCCAAGCGTCACGTCTGGAGGAAACCTGGCACCATCCCTACGATGAAGCATGGTTGTGGCAGTATCATGCGGTGGGGAAAAAAAACAATTTAATCAATTTTAGAATAAGGCTGTAACCTAGCAAAATGTGGAAAAAGTCAAGGGGGTATGAATACTTTCCAAAGGCACTGTATGCAGCATTTACCGTGAATGCAGTCTCCACTAACGCGGGAACATTGCCTTTAAATTTCACTCATGCTGTAACGCTGAATTTCCACGATACGGATTGATTAGAGCCCTAGATCTAATAAGATTTTTTCTAATAACTTTTTATTTAGTTTGTAATTTTTTCAATTGCCGTTACACAGGTATAATATTCAGACTAATATCAATTCATTATTCAGTTATCATATTTTCTGTTCATATTTTCCCATATATATTTTTCTACTAATTTTATAATAATACAATATAAATACAATACAATACATTCAGGTAACTTGCACCTTCCCATCTGCCACAGCAGACACTGCTAGCACTCAATTACAGTAGCTACTGTGGGTCTCTCTACCCTGGAAAAAGAGTACACACTCTCTAATGCGTCAAAGAAGTCGCCGGCTTCTGGGACTGCCTTGCAGGTGTAGCATAACACCAAGTTAAGCTCATGCGCATAACAGTGGATATATATCGCTTCTGGGTGATTGACATGGAAATGGGCCTGTACACCACCAACTGCCCCGCTCATGACTGACAGACCATCATAGACCTGAGCCACACACTGCAGATTCTCAAGGCCATTTGACACCAGCATTTGCTCTATTGCTTCAGTGATGGACTATGCATCAAAAGCTTTCAGCTTTTTTAGCTCCAGGAAACGTTCCTTTAGTGCAGGGGTCAGCAACCGAGTGATGTTTTTGGGCCACCTAAAGTTTTTAGTAAAACAAAAAAAAAAGAGAACAAAAATACATAGTGTCTCAATGTAATCAAGGTATTGTTATTATTTTCAAATACATTTCTCTTTTTGGGGTTAGTTGTGGTCAATTTGCAGTGTACAAATGATTATAATTATGTTCCGGCCCCCCAACCATCCGCTCCCACGGCTGAAGTGATACGTCACAACACGTTCTAAACCGCTCTGGTGACAAACTTTTTTCCTGGTCTCCATTCGTCCACATGGCTGCTTGCTGCGCTTTGCTACCGCCGAAAATATTGTGAAGATTGCACATTATTTTGTTTTTGTAAGGACCCAAAAAATGTAGGCAGTGGGAGAACCTATTAATGTAAAAAAAAACTATGTATTATTAGCTAGCTAGCTAGCTGGCTACAGTAATAATAATAATAATAATAATATGCCATTTAGCAGACGCTTTTATCCAAAGCGACTTACAGTCATGACAGTAGGCCACTTTGTAGGCTAACTCAACTGAGCTGCTAGCTAGCTATCTAACTAACTTTGGCTAAGTGAATTAAATGTCATCAGATAGCTAACTTCCTATTAGCTAGCTATCTTGATGTAATCATTGTAAATTAAAAACAGTCTCTAAATGCATTTATAGATAACAGCCATGGAAGAGGGGGTGGGTCACCTAAATCATCCTCTTCCCTACCAGTTGCCCCTGGCTGCTGCTGTTCTAAGTGCTCCACTGGCCTGCTGTTTTCATTTGTCCTCGTACTTGGCTCAACTGCAAGGTACCAAGTTTTAAAGTTACTGTATACTGACACAACCAGGGCAACTCAACTGTAAAGAAAAATTAAAGTGTCCATAACAGAGCCACACAACTCCAAACATGACAGATGTGAGACTTTTAGATTCCATGACATTTGAGGACACATAACGTAAAGGACAATTCCACCACTTTAATCAGTTATTATGCTGTTAGTATATTAGAATACAACATTTATTATGAAATGTACAGGCAAATCATTACGGAATCCTCGTCTCTCATGATTGAAGCCTGCTCTATCTTTGGTGCTAACATTAGTAAAAAATAACAGCCAAATACAGCCTTAGCAACTGTCCAAGCAACCATCCAACAACACTGTAGGCCTATTGGAACTAATAAAAAGTATGACGTTTACAAGTAATTCACTACGAAAATATAGGCTATTTGGAAACGGTGCAATGGCTGCCGGAGCTGTAAATTCGACAGTGATGGTGTGAGTGGTTTTGGCTAATGGAATCATGGCAGTTTGAGCCTTGAACAACTATAAATATAAATCTATAGGTTTACAGATGTTATTAGACAAAGACAACCAGAGCAACATATAGCAGGGAGTTCCAATATGATCAGAAAACTTTATGAGTTATATCACTAAATACTTCATAATAACAACCCAAATGTTAAAAGTGGTGGAGTTGCCCTTTAAGGGCCTATGTATTATCAATGTTTTGTTCACCTACAATCTAACCACAAAGCTGGCCATCTTTTCCCCTCTCTTTCTGGCTGCCTTCCCCTTTCCTTCTGTTCAAGAGGAGTGCACAGTGCTATGAAATGCTTACTTGCAGGTTCCCCTCTCAACAATGCAATAACAATAGAAAAAGTAGCTAAGTGAATAAAAATAGTAATAAAAACAAAAAGGTAAATTACATAATTTCACCGATTTAATAATGGGCAGTTATTTTTACAAATAGTTACATAGCCTATATGGAAATAACAGACATGAGCCAATCATGTTTACCTGTAGAATGGAATAGGTTATAAGACCTCTATGATTCATTTCATTTCATCACTTCTACCACCTCAACATTGCCAATTTTAAACAGGGTTAAATATCTAGTTGTACTAAAGTTCAGCTTCAGTCCACAGGGGCGCACTGTGTCACTGTCAGAAGATATGCGCTTGAGTCAGAAAAACTTTCTCTCATCTCTTCGGTCTCAGCTAGCTAGCCAGCTACTAGTAGCTACTGAAGTGGCTAGCCAGCCAAGCTAGCTACATAAACAAAACATCCTTAGCTTGCCCATTCACTAAATATACTGTTAAATAACTCTGGCTGACAACCAATAGCTTATGGATGCTGAGCGCTAATGCTAGCTTATTAGCATTAGCCAACCCTTATGCTGAGGGACACTAGCTAGCTAGCTAGTTAGCTACCATCAACCCTGCACAAACCTGAGACTAACTCTGTTGCTGCTGCGGCTGAACTTTGACTTTCTGGCTGTTCTGCCCTCTCCACCTCATTCACTGCTGCCTGCTTGTGTTCAATCAGCTCGCTTTCTTTGCCTCTCTTTCAGAAGAAGTTCTGAATATCCATATTTGCTCTGTGCGATGCTGCAGGCTCTGACTAAGTGATGACTTCAAAGACAGTACAGTAGGAAGATAGACAGAAACTGCATCTCCAATAGAAATCCCAGATCACACAGGTAAGCGATGTCAAGCTCATGCGCAGAAACACGTCATGAAGTCTAACGGTTGTCTCGAGCAGAACTGCGCATGTGCAGGCTATCAAATCAAAGGCACTCCTTCGATATAAAGTTGTTTTTGACGAAAATTAAAACCTGTCAGTTTGTCACTTTTAAGAAGTTGGTGTAATAACATGTTCAACTACTTAAGACATTGGCTCGAATCTAGGTTCTGTCTTTAGATTTTGAGAAAATTAACAACTAAGGAAGAATTTTTCACTTCCATCGTTGACTTCTCAAACCCGGAGTGGTCTGCTTGGTCTGTTTCGCAAGCGTTCCGGGAAGTCTCGCGATGTTGCGCCTCTGGGTTTAGAAACTCTGTGATGACTTGACATCTGACCGGCACTGTAGGGGTGGGGGAGGGGTCAAGGGATGTGAACGGTCCACTGAGTTGTGAAATCTCTACCAATCACAGCAGGCACTGGCGCATCACTCCAGGGGCTTCTTGCAGTGCCTGCTACTGCCTAGCGCAGTATGTTGGATTGTTTATTTTTTTCATCAAAATGTGTCAGTAAAAAAAAAAATTATATATATATATATACTACATAGTGCAAGTGATGTGGGGTTATGGAAACTCATGTCAGACAGCCTGAAATAAAAACATTGATAAAATAAATCATAAAAATGTTCGAGGCTGGACCAAGAACATCTGGGGCATAAGCCCCGGAAGCACAGACCTAACGTCGTCACTGCCTTCAACCCCTGCATTAATTGGTATTGAATTTTCCTAAGCTCTAATGTGCGCTGTATTCATCTCACAGCATTAGCTATTGAACTGCGCCCTCCCCGGTATCGACAACTAGATGTATTAATAAGCTTTGTGCTGTGAAGGACAGAGAGGTGTTTCCAACCACAACACCTTCCTTTTTCCTTTCAGGACTCAAGGCTGTTGGGCTAAGTTTGATATCTTATTACGATCTCATTATCCAAACTAGAAATGTCTACATTCAAAATGTTTTAATAAAGAGTTGAGGTTCTTGCATGGTCGTTTTTGGGGGATTCTTCATCAAGCTGAAAAATTAATGTTGTTGGCCCGAATGACAATGATGGATCACGTTCCCTGGGGTAGCTTTAGGAGTCCTCTTTTCTCCACACAGGACAGATGATCTAAGTTATTACTCTTGGCAGCACTTTCAATGGCCATGTCCTTGCTCTTATGAGACTGTAATGCCTGGTGTCAGGGTGACACTCAATAGTCTTTAGAATACTTTTGCTGCAGTTTTTTTTTTATATAATTTTTTTTTTTTTTACAGTACAGTATATGTTTATGGCAGCTGGATGGTGGTAACAACTGTTATCAGAAACGATATGACATCATGCCACAGAGAATTGATTTACCCTGTCTCAACGCATGGGTTCCTTGGCCGACTTCAACATACTGTACTGTGACAAAACGGAGCTGGATGGATGTTTGAAAAGGTCCTTCATAAAAGAGGAAGGACAAAAACAGGATTGTAGACTTCATATTTGGATGATATGTGCTGAATGTACAAGCAATAAAATGCACATTTCATTATTACCTACACATGTTACCATCACAAAAGCCTCGCTCCTAATACAATAGAATAACACATTTCCTACTCTCATTCCCATAGGACCATAACTTGGAAAGGAAATGACATCAAAGCGAACCAGGGGGCCATCTCTCACTCCTCTTTAATCAGAGGAAATGTGTGTGTGTGTGTGTGTGTTTGTGTGTGTGTGTGTGTGTGTGTGCGTGTGTGTGTGTGCGTGTGTGTGTGTGTGAGTGAGTTCCACATGGGGCTTTGCGTGGCTGTGTGTGTGAAGGTCAGGTAAATGCCACAAACGCTAGCTCCACCTCTGCGTCTCCCCAGCCACCTGAGGTGCACTAAAGCGTGAGGTCCCCACAGAATCAATAGCTTGGGGCCTCATTGATTGCTTGCCTTTTGTGTTTTAGTTTTTTAATAGTGGCTACTTTTTATTGTATTTAAGGGATGACGTATACATACATAGACATGTCATAGTGACAGGTAAAGTGAATTTCAATATCAGTGGAGACTGCTGAGGGGAGGATAGCTCATAATAATGGATGGAACGGAGCAAATGGAAACCATGTGTTTGATGTATTTGATACCATTCCACTGATTCCGCTTCAGCCATTACCACAAGCCCGTCCTCCCCAATTAAGGTGCCACCAACCTCCTGTGTTCAATATGTACTTGCACTAAAAATATAGTATTATGTTCTGGGAGCAGATCATTTTGTTGTTTTTTGAGAGGTACGTTTATTACTCTTTTTATTTTATTTTTTACAACCATTATTTGTGTATTTAATTGTTTTATATTGGATCCTGATGTGTGTAATGGGTTTATTCAGATATCAATTTGGACTTTCCATAAATATTGGTGATATTTAACAGAACAAGGTGAATTTATTCTGGGTATAATTGA